CTCCTCTAAGATCTCTAAATTCCTTAGAGTGTACGTTTCACTCACAGGTAGCGGTGCTCTCTGGTGTGCAGGCAGAAGGTGCTGCAGCTCTCCCTGCTGACCCCCACGCTCCCAGCTGCCAGGGCAATCGTGGCTGCAGGGCTCCTGCTCCCCAGGCAGCAGCTGAGGCTGTACAGGGCCAGTTCTCCTTCCCGCAGCTCTGCCAGGCACCTGGGGGACAAGGCACGGAGACACAGCTCATTCCCCATTGTGTCCTCTTCACACAGCCTGGCCTTTGTTAAAGCACCTTCCAATGCCAATAAATCTCCGCGTTTTTACAGCATCCTCCATGGAACAGCCAAAAACACCAAGAGCAGGGCATAAAAGCTTTGAGATGTTCTTATCTGAGAGTTTCTTGTTTTCATCTGACACCTAAATAAAGTGTGACATAAAATCTGAACAGCCTGCCATGCCCAGTGAGAGCTAAAATTAAATCTGACCATCAATTAAAAACACCCAAGTCCTGTTAAATTTTTTTAGCCATGCTCTGTCCCTCCCTCTCCATTTACTCCTCTTGTTTATTTGGGGTAGTGGGTCTTTGGGACTCTGAGCTTTTATGGGAATCCACCTGTGAGTGAGCAGTGCATAAGAGTTTGTGTGTCTGGCTTCCAGGTTTCACTCCACCAGGCTATAAACAGAACACCAAATTTATCTCCCCATCATCCAGCCCAATATCCCTCTCTCCTAGAAATCCTGTTACTCCATGGCAACTCATCCTGGACCCCCATCATTCCCAGGAGTCACTTGGTAGGAAAGGGTTAAAGTATTCTGCTCTTGAGGGCATCCAGCAGAAGTGACTGCACCAAAATTCAGGGAAAAGCTCTTTAAATTATAATTAATCCTGTAAGAAATTGCCTGAGCATACAGAGCTTCTATTCCAGCACAATCCTGTGGCCTCTGCTCTGGAATTCTGCCCTGCCCTTTACAACAAAGGTCCCAGCCAGAGGTTGGGTTTTATTGTGGGCTTTATTCTTATTTAAGCTTTTGTCTTCTCCTTTTTCTGGAGGGTTTCTGCCTTTCTTTATCATTCTGGAAGCTCTACAAAACTCTCCCTGCACTCCCTCTCCAGGGTGTGGCTGGCTGATTAAGGTGTTCTATGAAGAACTTAAGTTTAGCTGCTCCAGAACTATTAAACATAAAATATAAATTGCAACTATTCCCATACAAACAGTCAAAGGAATAAGAATTGTTTAATGGATCTGGCAATGCTATTTGTCTCTCCTTTCTTCCAGGCAGGGATTTATGGTTCAATGGGATCTCCAGATGCTTCCACCATCACTTACTTTGCCAAAAAAAAACCCCAAAAAAAACGAGGAAGAGGGAGGATTAATA